CGAAAGAAAATTTTTTGCAGTCCCTCAAACTCGGGCCAAGAAAATTCGGTCTCAGTTATGAAATCCGAGAGCTCAATCGACAATCACACCCGAGATCCTCACTCGCAGTCGGGTCAGAATAATCCGAACCGAGGAGGGGGGAGAATAGACACTGTTGACGAGCAGAGTAGAGGGGGAGGGGACAACGAGAGTGCAAGACCACTGTTCGGAACAAACGACGATGGACCGAAAGTTCCGAGCAGAAGCAGCCCCGCTGCAGGTTTTCAATTTTCAAAAGACATTTTTTGAAATAAAAACGACAAAATAGCTGCATTTTACCCAAAAACTAATATCATCTTTCAGCTGCTATTTTACGACTTAATTGTAGTAGAATTTTGAAAAATGTGTGAAAAAAAAGTAAGCAAAATAGCATTTTTGTCCCTTAAAAAACAAACACCGCTCTGCTAGGGTTGTAACTTGAGCGAAAGTTTAAAAAAAACGAAATTTTTGTACGACTAAAATTTTTTTGAATGTAGGAATGAGCCCTGTCAGTCCAATACGAGCAACCTGATGACGTAAAAGATGATAGCATATCAAAAGGAGTTGAAAAAAAAATCATTTGAAAAAACAAAGTGTTTGATGAAATTATTTTAATCGCTGTTTTATTGCTTTGGATCAAAAAGTGTATTATTTCACCCGTGCTGAGTTAACAGAGTTGCAGATTTCTATCAGCAAATTTTCAGATCTGAAATTTCTCATTATTTCAAATCTGAAATAACCATGAAAAACACAAACTCAGATGTGAAACTATATCTGAAATAACACAAGGAAGTATCCAAACGTTAAACTTTAACTTCAGATTAGGTGCGTAACTCATATGCTTTTGAGGAAACCACTGAATTCGAAATATTTTGCTTCTTCTGCAAAACTCAGTTATAATTAGATAAATTAACGTTAAAGCACTTCCGACTAATTACACGCACATTTTTCTACTTTTTGATTTCTTTTTGATTTTTTTTCATGTGTAGGTAATTGTATTCCAGTAGCCTCCAATGCAAAAATTAGACGCCGAAAATAAAAAACAAAATATTAGATATTGCTTCAGATCTGATAAAAATCAGGTACGCCAAATTTCAGGTCTGAAACTTTTTTCTGAAAAATTCACTTTCATATTGCAAATAGAAATCATTAAAAAGAAATCATTATGATCTCTTTTTTTCTTTTTCTTCCTCGTACTTATTTTTACTTCTACGCGTAAACTTTTTGTTCATATTTTCCGATTGTTATGAAAAATACAAATACGGACTTATCTGGTTATGATAAACTACCTATTTGGGTTTCGTAGTTAGTATTCTAAAACTACTCGTTACCCATAAAATTGACACTCTTGTGCAGATCGGAGGATAACGTATTGTTTCTTAATGCTAGGGTCATGACGATAGTTCATTCATTTAAAGATTATCTCAAGAATCTGTTTAGATAAACAAGTTTAGCTCATGTCTTACAAATCGGATAATTAATTTTATTTGAATGAGCAAATCATTTTGGCTTTCATTGGGTCCCGTCCTGTCTGGTTTTCGTAATCAAATTGTTTTAAATAGTTTGTATTACGTAATTTGATGTTGCAAAACGGGGACGTAGCAAACAGCAAATGAGGCCTATTAAAATGCGCTAACTTTTTTAACTGCATACGCTAGACAAAATTAACCTAGTATTTCAAATGAAATCGAAAACCACTTCATTTGTTAGCCAAGTTTCACCTTATTAAAATTTCGGCTTCGTACACGCTACGCTGTTCAATATAGCAATTTTGAGTGACCAAAACATATAAAAGCGAACTTTCAAACTAAATTTTTGTACATGGGCATGCTAATCCACCCACATGCCAAACGACGCAAAATTCTATTGTTTGTTTTCTTTAGCGAAACTACACTGCTAATTTTTGTCTCGAATTTCGAAGAAAACGAACATTTATGCTTGGGCTGGTTTTTTTATTATGTCAATTTTCGATTTTAACTCCATACCATTTTAATTTCATACCATCTAAGAATATTGTTGGCCAGAGCTCAAATTTAAAAAAAAATAGATTTCACCTCTGATCATTTTTTAAAAGTTATGGGGGTTTGAAAAATGCTAATTTGATCAATTTCTAGAATTTAACGCGCGATATTTCTAATAACACGCGTAAGCGGCAGATTAATGCCTTGCAAACCGAATTGAGACTAAATAAAAAGTCTTCTTATAAGGAAATACGCAAAACACATCGCTCTGTAGTCCAGATTAACAATTTGGGGATAAAAAGAAGAAAAAAGGGTTTTATGCACTAAACGGCCCAAAATCAAATTTTCTTCATCGTAAGCTCAAAATTGTGCGATTGAATTTGATTGGGTAATTTTAGCCAATCAAATTCAAGTTAGACGGTCAGGCATTCCGATCAACTTTTCCAGCACATAAAAATATTAGACGAAACTTCCGAAAAGATAGAACTTTGCAAAATAATCAAATTAATTTTTAGTTACTTGTGAAACCCTTGCCCAGACAACAAAAACTGAATAAAATGACTTGAAAAAACAAAAAATCAAATTTTTTTTTATTATTTCGGCTAATAAATTCATCTGCTTGAAATGGCAGAATTACTTCATTTGAAATGGCAGAAAACGTAGATGAAACTTGATTGGCTAATTAACCAATCAAATTCAACTACATTAATTTCAGTTCAAGAGATGTAGAAATAATGACTTTGGGCCGTTTAGTGCAAAAGACCCAGAGAAAAAAAAAGAAAAATGTGTATTTTTCAATTATTTTGTCAACTTTTTAACCAAAAAAGAAGCCTTAAAGTGCTGTCGGAACATTCAGAGCTCGCCCTGATATGCGGGCTGTTTTTTCAGTTTAGTTGACTCAAAGAGAATCAGGCCGAGGAAACATGAAGATGTTTAAAGTTTTTGTTAATTTTTGTTTCGTAAGTTAGCTAGTTTTTATAAATAAACACATAGAAAGACTTAGTTTGTTTCGTATTTTGTTCAATTTTGAAAAGCTTAAAAAACAGAAATTATTTTATAAACTAATGGGCGCAATTTTTAAAAGCACACGAGTCCGTTCAAAAATATATCAACGTAAAATGCGCTCTCTGTATTTTGAATAAAATTTCCTCAGCTTGTCAAAATGAACATTAAGCAAGGTAGATATAATTTGTAACTTGCTGAATACAATCAACAGAAGTTAGTCTCAAATTTTTATCAGTAATTACTCAGCGGTAGATATCTCTCAATCTAAGAAGACGCATTGAGAGATATCTACTGCAACTAATTTTACAAACTTCAACTAGACTATACAATACGCAAAAAACAATGAGAAGCAAGCAATGATTTAGCATCTAAATTTGCTATCAGTCTTGCGATTTTGTAGTGTATACTTGAGAAAGCTGGAAAAAAAGTACGAAATAGATTGTGGACAAAAACTGTCAACAAGTTTAAAAATATCAAAGCAGATGTCTGGCCGTACTGAGTTTTTATGAAAAATGCTCGATGATGCTGCAGTTTTATAGTCCAATTCTCTGAAATTTGAAAATAGTCGATTATAATTGATGAGAAACGGATTATTTTGTTATTATCTTTTGAAGCAACAAAATCCAATTTTAATAATCGAAAAAAATTATCGAACGATTGATAATTCTTTATAATCGATTGAAGTTGATTATAGTCATTTTTTAAAAATCTTTTTGTGCGCTATTTTCATTTGTTTATAAAAAGTTTAAACCTGACTTAGTTAATTTGCACTGTTTTCTTATTTCAATCGCGCTTCATAATTAGTTGCGTACTTATTATTGTTTTTTTTTGTTTTTTTTTTGGGGGGGTAGTGAGGGACATGAGTGTAAGAGAGCACAGTCCGGGACGTGGGGGTAGTGGGGGAGTGGGGGAGGGGGTAGTTGGGGACGTAAGGGACAAAGTGGGGAGACGTATGAGAAGCGCGGGGTTTTTAGCGGGTGGGGTGTAGTGGGGGGGGGGGGGGACAAGTGAGGATGAGGAGGGCAAGGGGGTCGTAGTTGGGACAAGAGGGCTGTGAACCGTGCTTGTGGTAGATTTTTGTAGAAAGCTGCAAAAAGTAGAAAAAATTTATATACAAAAAATAGATTATATTGAAAACAAAAAATATGTTTTAATCGATGGTAATGGTTTGTAATGAATTTTGAATTTTGAAACGAATGTATTATAATGGATAAAAAACATTACATTTCGGATTATATGAAAAATTCTGCTTAAAATTGCTAGAAAAAGTCAAATTTTGTCTGTAGAAAAAGAAACAAGCCGAGCACAAATATTCTATAATTTTTTTCAAAAATTGTTGGAACAAAAATGTTGAAAACAAGACACCAAGATCTGAAACGCTACAGATCCGGTAGTTTTGATCAGCATGCTTATTTCAAGAATTTTTAAACCTTTTTCAGTAAAAACAATCTTTTTAGGCTAAAAAAACTGCCCATATAGTACCACTATGGAGTTTCACAGAGTTTCTATTATAGCCCACCCTTTTCTTTCGGCGCTGCGTTAAAAAATAAATTGTTTGCTTACCAGCTCATCTGAGAATATATTTTTTTATAAAAAAAAAGTTTATTCAAATTTATTTTGGCGATAATATAATATTTAGCTTCTTCCCTTTCTATCACTCTACCTATTATTTTTTTTATTCATTTGCAAATGCGAATTTGTTGATAATTTTTTTCTCACCGGTCAATCATTTCGCTTACCAGACCCAATGATTTAAAGTTTTTTTGCAAAGTTTTGTTGAGTTATTTGTTTTTTCTGTACGTCGCATGAATAATTGTATTTATCAAATTCTCTCAGGTGATTAGAAACAGACCGCAACACGTAATCTCTACCGCTTGTTTCTTTTAAATAAAAATTTAGTTACGGTAATCTCTACCGCTGGTTTCTTTATGCTCTTCCACGGCTGAAAAACTCTATCCGGGTTAGTTCAATAACAACTTCTAAAAAAACTGAAAACAATAGAAATATATGCTCGAATTGATTCTAAAATATTAACAGGAAAATTTAAGCAGTCACTTCAACATTGAGTTTTTTACTAAGCTTTGTTATTTACTTGGTTAATATTTTCAAAACATAGCAGCTAGCAAACATATAAAGACATATGCACCATGACTGAAATCTTGTGACCTTGAGATTACTCAACGAGGAGTTGCAGAGGTCACGTGGACACACTTCATAGGAACAAGTGTCGTATTTGGGTCCGGCGTTGCACGGGTTCCCGCTACTCTTTGCACAACCTCGTGTAAGTTCGAAGAATTTGTCGCCGCGTGGAGAGCTCTTGGTGTTAATGAACGTCTATACAAAACAAAATGATCTCAACCCACTAGAAAATTGAATTTTGGGTCATTGATATGACAGATCGTAATCAGGGTTGGATTTAGAGGAAGGGTGGGGGGGGGGGGGGAGGGGTGCTTGGCTGATGCTTTCTCACCCTCAGGGATTCAGCCCTCTTTGGTACTAGTTTATGACATCTATTTTTGTCCGACCAAGTCTAAAATTGTTCTAAAGGCGCCACCGTAGCCAGTATAAACTAGTTTTGAGGGGGAAAGGGTGTCAAAATTTTCCAAAAAGAGCCAAAGACGGCCGTTTAGGTCTCTCTCTAATTTTAAAAAAGTTGCCTACAGCCCAGAAACTTTTGCCTAAAAATGGTGCTTGGGTGTTTCAGGGTGGGAAATACCGTCTCGGAAACTGAACGAATCCAAAAAAAATTAATAAATACTTTTATTGGTAGAATGGCTCTTATCTTGTTTGAAAGATGAGCCGCTTCAGTCTTGCTGCTTAGTTATTGAACCATTTAAAGATCTACTTTTTTATGTTCTATCAATATAAAAATTTTTGATGGTTATAATAGAAAAGTATTTTACTTAAGACTTAATACAAAGTTTTTTTACGCATCGCTTACATAACAGAGGTTGATGTCATCGTCGGCACACTTGTCTACTGTGACGATGTCGGAAGAATCGATTGATCCTTGGGCACATGAGTCATTTGGATCATTTGTCCAACAATGCGCGCAGCGAATATTGTCTGGAAAAACATCAAATTGAATCAAGACTGAAAAATTAATAATGTTGGAAACGAAACACATCTGTGATGGTTTATTTGGCAAAACTTTTATTTTAAAAACCTTTCGAGAGCAGGTGTAAGCTGGCGGGTGAAAGCTTCCCGGGTTGGCCAAAAATTGCTTATCATAGAAATTTATACAATTCTATACCTACAGGAAATTGTTCAAAAAACTCTCATATATGAAAATTGCATGATGAATATTTTTGATATGAAAAATGTATGATAAGGATCTTTCCATAAAAAATTGATTTTTCCTTCATTTCTCTGTTTTGTCCAAAAACACAATAGCCAATGTTTTATCTCTCACAAAATATCCATAGGTTGAAAAAGAGGAAAAACTAACACAGGAGAGCTGCATTAGAAGATTCGCAAAGAAAGTTAATGGTTTAAATTTCACCTTAAACAACAACTAGAAAGAGTAACCTTCTGTATATGCTTGGAAAAGTTTTACTCCTAAATGGTGTAATGAACGAAAAAGTTTTTTTTGGCGTCAAATTTTTCGACAGAATAAAAATTATCTTAGCATATGAAAGCTAAAAAAAAAAAAAAATTTGAGTAACAAAAAAAATAGTAGACAATTTTGATTCATTTGTACGAGAATTCAGCTTGAACTTGGAAATTTAGTTGCATGCATATCTTTTTTTGAAATTGCTTGTTTGAGCATATAAAAGTTTTGCAACAAAACTTCTAGCCATGTAAAAAAAAATTTTCATCCTATTTTCATCAATACAAATTGTATTATAAGCACTTTTCTGTACACTTATTGTTTAAAATTGTATGATTTTGGTATGAAAATGAATGAACTTGCTTTGTAAACTACAAAATTGGTTTTAGTGTTCCTTTTTTGAACAGAAAGTTCTTACTTCAGATTTTCTATAACACGCTACGACAATTTTTTTTACTCATTTTTAGGTATTAGATTTGTTGTACTTCTTAATACCAATATTGGGAACTTTCAAACTTCATCTGTAGGTTACCAGTAATTCGTTACCCTTCTTTAACACAAGCTGTTTGTGTCAATTTGTCATTTTTGACAGCTGGTTTCTGTAAAAATACGGATTCAAAACGACTGAAAAATGCATTGAGGGTAGTCAGAGAAAAAAGATTTGTGTGTTAAAATCTCGCTTGTTCATAGTTGATCAGTAATGGCACCAGAGCAAGTATTTAAAGAAAATTAAAATCAGCTGATTAATCATATAAACTTGAACGACCTAATCAAATGTATTGACGCTGTAAGAGCAGACAATGTAACAGTGTTTCAAGTTCAACCGAGTTGACCAAAAATGTTGCTCATACAGTTTTCATATTGACACTGTAACAGTGTTTCAACCCGGGCTGACCGAAAATGCTACTCATACAATTTTCAATTTTCATATATGGAAAAAGCCTGTCATACATTTTCATGCATTTCCATAAGTACGGAAAATTGCAAAAAAGGTCTATGATTAGTGATTTTCCATATAATCGAATTGCATGATTAGCATTTTTCCACAACAAAAATAAACTTGATTTTTTTGAACTTAATTCCTTCTCAATATTTTCGGATAGTGTTTTTAACAGATAACACGTAATAAAGACCTTTGTTTACTCAAAACTAGCATCACTAAAGGTTCAACAGTCTCGCATGTTACATTTAGTGGAGTCGGTCGAGTTGTCTTAGAGTTGCGTACCCGAATGATATAATGAAATTATCAATTTTTAAAATTTCGCCTAAAATTTTCAACGATGATTTTTTTTTCAAAAAAATTTGAACTTTTTTAAGTCAAGTTTTGGTTTAACATAATGATGCTATGAAAACAATAATAGGCTTTGTGAGCGTTTTTAATAAAAAGTGATTCAAAGAAACGAAAAAAAAGGCTACGTTATGCTCACAGAGATGTAAAATTAGCATGCAAAAAAAATTCAGAAAAAGTTCGTTTGAGTACAAATTTCGTGTTGAACAAAAAAAAATTGGGGTGCAATTTTGAAATTATTTATAATAATTTTTTGTTGTCTTATTTTAAAAAAAAGGCTAGTCTTACTATTTCCATGCGTCGAAATTATATGGTTAGCATCTGTTTGAAGAAAACGTGTTTATGACACCTACTTATCTGCCAAAACAAGAAAAAAAATCTTCGAAAACTATATGACACCCTTTTGGCAAATTGTATGAAATTATTTTGACTAGTATTTTAACTTAGACTTAGTTTATGGAATTGTATGATTAGCATTTTCTGTCTATGGATGTCAACCCGGGAAGATGGATTCAGCGCAGCGGCCAAAATAGTCAAAAGGATGGAAAAAGAACACATCTAAAAAGACTTGAGTTTCAGCATTTGCCTTAAAGTACTTGTATACTTTGTTCTCATCTTTATGATCATCGATAACTAATATATCTAGTGGTAAAAATTGTTTTTTCACTTTTACTCTGGTATTATGGCCGAAAACTCGGCGATTATCAACTACTCGCTGTTTTGCTTAATTTTCCAAACCGGTTATTTTTGAAGCTTATTTCATTCAAAATTTTGATTGCAGAATTGTAATAAGCTAGTATAGTTTTTGGTCATTCGGTCCTTTGCCCATGTAGGATTTTTTTCCGGGTACTTACAATGTCTGTATGAGTCTTCGTAGTAGTATTCATTTGTGCTCGCATATCCTCCGCCTCCATTGTCGCCCCCACCCTCCTGAAGGCCCTCGTAGTCGAAGAAACTGTTGCTCTTCTCCGAGAAGGATCCGAAGGGAGACGAGAAGAAGTTGTTATACGAGTCGACTCCTTTGATCAAGTCCGATATGAGGTGGAAGAAAATTAACTGGATGAAGTTGCGATAGTTAATTAATATGAGTAATACCATAGTCGCTAATAATCTAACACCATCTTCCTGAATAACATTAATAAGATAAACAACAAACGAAAGTTTGTGTCAAAGAAGTATTTTTCTCAACAGAAGTAAGCTTTATCGAGCTCAGCATATCAATTTAATTTTTTAATTTCCCTGCAGGAGTTGCAAAGGAATATACGTAAAATTCAGCAATAAAGCTATGAAAAAAAAAGAAACAGTAGCTGGTTTTAATATAATTAGCTGTAAAGTATATGCTACACTAATAAAAAAGATAAAAAACAATAATGGTTCATTAAAGGTAATTCCAAAGCATAGTGAAGTTGAATTTCTAATTTAAGACGCTTAAGATTTGACCAAATGACAAAGGTTCGCAGACGTTTAGGTTTTCCGATTGTTTTATCTATAGAAGAAAGACATTTTTAATAACATCTTTTTTTTACAAAAGCTATTTGTAATTCCTTAAGAAGATTTTGAAAACATGCCATCTTTTCTACCGAAAACGTTTTACATGTTTTTTAGTACAGTAATGAAATGTGAACGCCAGTTGTATATGTGTAGTGATCGATGCTTACCAGTCCTTTTTTATCATTATTTTTGGGCAATTTTGTTGATGGAAAGAACAATAAAAGCTCTTTTGAGCTAAACATTTCTCATTTTTTGTCTTTAGGGCATATTCTACTCCAATTCAGGCCATATACAGGCTCAAAAAGAGCATTTTCTGACCCTGAAAATTTCCAAATTTATGTCTGAAAATTTTTTAAAAAAGAGAACGATCAAGAGATCTCCAGAATTTCATGTATTTATAATTGCACTGTTATTGTTTACACAAAATCTACATATTTAAAGATTTTCAACGCGTTCAGAATTTCAGAGTTATACCCGCACCGAGCGCCCATGGATCATAATCGATTATATTGTCATAATATGGTCAGCATCTATAAAATGACGAAATAATCGATTATAATCCATTAAAAAAGGATTATAATTCTAATATTTTTACCACAATAAAATCCATTTTAATCGATCATAATCGATTATAATGGATTTTTTCGAGAGGGTTATTCAAGAAATTTACAATTTTGTTCAAAATTATCTCATTTCCTGTTTAGTGTAGTTGCTACGTGTTATGTTTCATAAAATGTTACATTTAAGAAAAAAGTTTATATTTTTTTTGTCTCAACTTTGTCTCATTCATTCATCGCAGTTTAACACTTCATTTTACCAGCCCCCCCCCCCCACCCCAATCCAGTTGAGCCCCCCATACCCAGTATACTACCACCCACCAGTTTACTATCCCCCCCCCCCCCCCAGTTTACCTCCCCTCCCACCATTTACCCCCCCCCCCCTCCAGTTTACCCTACCCCTTTAGCTTGGGGGGGGGGGGGGGGTAAGAAAGCTTGAGGGGGCGAGGGGATGACCAGTTTAACCCCCCTCCCCCGGTTTATTTATCGCCCCCTCCAGATTTATCTCCCCCCTCCAGATTTATTTAACACACACCCCCCCCCCCCGGTTTACTTCCCCATCCCCCAGTTTATACCCCCCAGTTTACACCCCTCCCCCCAGTTTACCCTGCCATTTTAGTTGGGGGGGGGGGTGATGTAAAATGCTTGAGGGGGCGAGGGGACGAAGTTGAGACATGGCATTTAGTAAAAGACAGGGCATAAATTGTGCAAACTTCTCGCAAAATTTGCAAAATTTTGCAAAAATAATCGAATTTAGTTCTAAAAATAAAATGGATTATAATCAGTTATAATGGATTATAATGGATTTTCATTTCTAAATAATCGATTATAATGGATTATCTTGGCAAAAATAATCGATTTCAGTGACAAAAATAATGGATTATAATCGATTATAATGGATTATTATGGATTACATTTGTTCAAAAATAATCGATTATAATGGCAATATAATCGATTTCGTGGTCTGAATTATACATCCGTAATGGTTTATAATCGATTATTTTTGTCTCGGGAATCCATTATAATCAATTAGAATCCATGGGTGCTCGGTGCGGGTACGTACTGGTTCATATTTTTGAAGCTTCATGTTTTCGTAAGTTCGCTTTTATAATAAAAACATGGTAAGATTAATTGATAGCCATTTTTGTGCTCACCATTTCAATTTTCTAACATTGCTCTACGATAACCCTGAAAACACTTTTTAAGCATGATTTTTATTCTCATTCACAGTGTTTCAGATAAACTTTCTGGAAAACAAAACAAGGGATCAAGTTAGCATCATCCCCCCGAATAGACCAAGTTAAGAACCTCCAACCCAGCGTTCAATTTAATTTAAATCTACTTGTAAACTGATCTATTCTGGTTGGCTGAAAATTCGAACTCAGAACCAAGTTAACATCCCCCTCCCAAACGGATTGGGGGGGGGGGGGGGTGTTAACTTGGTCCAAAACAAGCTCGCAAAAATATTTATTATGAGGTACTGAGCGTTTTTCCAAACTTAAAAAATAGGTGGAAATTTTGTTTAACATGACGCATATTCTTTTCTAGTCGTCGAACATTGAAGTAAAAAGGGGCAATAAACTATTCACGGACACTGTAACTAGAAATTGTTACAGATGACAAAATAAAAGTGGGATCTTATCAACTAAAACATTGTTATTCAGACATTTAAGAACAGTGTGATCAATGAAATCCAATGGGCTGAAAAGAAAAACTATTACTGTTTCATCTGATAAGCAATGAAAGTTTTAGTTTTTGTTGTTTTAAACATTGATAAAAGCAAAGGCAATGGTTTGTGTTGGTTTTTAAAATTTTCAAGTTTTTGGTTTTAGAAGGTCATGCAACGAAATTTGTAACCCTTCCGGAAAGTGCGACCTTATCAATTTTCACCCTTTCGTCTGCTTGTCGGATATATTAGAAAAAATTAACACAAAATTTTAAATTAATTTTCAATTTTTCAGTCTCTCAACTAGTTACTGAAAAATTGAATATGTAGGTTCCAATTTTTCAGAACCTCAAAATAGGTCATCACATATTCAATTTAACTTTGAAAAAATTACCAAATTGTTTTACAAAAAGCCTTAAAATCAGGAAGGATTAGGTATTTTTGTAGCAAATAGTAATATAACTCCAAACCTCAGTTTTTTATGCGGGGCTGTAAAAAATTAAGCTGGTAGACAGTTTAATAAGGCTTTTTGAGCAAAATCAATTCATCTGAAAGAATTATAATCTGTTTTTGTTATAAATTTGCAATAAGTGGTTGTTAGGGGTGGCATAATCTCTGTTTATAACACTAGTTAATCTTTTTTTCCTATTAAAAATAAGCCATAAAGTGAGTATGCCTCGTAGGTATTAAAAAGCAGACATCTGGTTCAAAGATCAAAAAAAATTTTTTTGCAATCTGATTTCAGATGAGAGGCACCAACAACAGTTTTTAGATTGTAAAAAAGTAATATTGTTAGGGAGTTTAATAAAGTTCAAAATATAAACCTCGAAGTCATTAAATTTGAACTCAATAATGTTTTTTTTTCTGTGAAAAAAAAACAAACAATTGCACCTGGAACAAACTGCTTTTTTTGCTATTTTCCTGAATTAAATTGATTTTTTTAGTTGAAATAATTTATATGTTCGTTTTATGCAATACAGTCAAGAAAACGCGTGTAAAAAATTATAATGTGATTGATTTCTGTGCATAATATTATAAAACGGAAGGTTCCAATTGATAACTGCTGACAGACCGATACAAAATGTTTTTAGATTGCGACAGAGTTTTTGAGAGGCACCAACAACAGTTTTTAGATTGTAAAAAAGTAATATTGTTAGGGAGTTTAATAAAGTTTAAAATATAAACCTAGAAGTCATTAAATTTGAACTCAATAATGTTTTTTTTTCTGTGAAAAAAAAACAAACAATTGCACCTGGAACAAACTGCTTTTTTTGCTATTTTCCTGAATTAAATTGATTTTTTTAGTTGAAATAATTTATATGTTCGTTTTATGCAATACAGTCAAGAAAACGCGTGTAAAAAATTATAATGTGATTGATTTCTGTGCATAATATTATAAAACGGAAGGTTCCAATTGATAACTGCTGACAGACCGATACAAAATGTTTTAGCGGAAATCAGATAAGCTCAACTTTTCTAGCCAAGGTGCCGAGAAATCATAATCCGGGAAAGATCAAAAAGATTACGGTAACTTACTCCAGCTTTCAAATCTGCAATTTACAAATCTCATTTCCTTATTTCCAATCACAGCCCAAAATAAATAGGAGCTAGTTTCAACCAAGAAGTTACTAAACCGAAAACCTGTTTATTAAAAATTACATGCTTTTCTAAGTGTGTTTCAAACAAGTCATGAACAATATTTCTTCAACCCTCAAATTTTGAAAAAAAGAATCGAGGGCAAAACCTGGTCAAACATCATTCATGGTTAATCTTGAAAATTGAAAAAAAAACATGAAAAAAAAATGAGTTTCTTATCTTCGCGCTGGGCGAAAATGTCCGCGGAATAAATTTGACGGCTGATAACCCAGAAAATTATTCATATGAGTAATTTTTAGTTTTGCTATTCTGTTTTTGGAATTGTATGCTCTTAGTTTTATCTGCAGTTTGCGCTCTGTCTTTATGCTCTTTCTGAATCACCTAACTTCAGGTGCTGCCGTAGAATTAATAGCATATTTACAAAACTATTTATCGCCCCCTAACTGTAAATCTCCTCCAAAAAGCTGTAAGTGTGAATTTATGACGAACTTTTCCCTGGTTTGTCGTTGGGCTTCAGACTATTTATTGTTTAAACTTTAATAATTGGGTTGGCCAATTGACGAAACATGTCTCGCACAGGTCGAAAAATTGAAACCTTAAAATCAGTTCCTTATCATAACATTTCATAATTAACAAAGTTTAAAGTATGATAATCATTCAAATTTGGACATAAATCAGTGGTGGATTTATGCGGGACGCCACCTCAGCCTCAGGAATTCGACCCCCTGACTATTCAATCAACGTTTCCACAAAAAAAATTGATAAAATTTTGCAAAACTTTCCAACATAACCCCCCCCCCCCCCCTCCCCTCACTCGAGAGAATCCTGGATACGCACCTGCACAAACGCAAAAGGAATGCATACAAAGAAAGAATTGAGATGAACAGACTCAAGCTCCTTGGGCAATCCTTTTCGCCCAGTAATTTATACACACGTAATTAAAAACGAAATATCTTAATTTTTGTGGGTGCTAATTTTGATGGGCATAACTTTCAAATAAAGGTTTGAATTTTTGGTTAGTAACAAAGGAAATAAGTTTAAATTTTAATTACAAAAAAATAATCTTTCTACTGTGACTAGCGCCTGAAACTTTTTTCCAATTCAAATCAAGCGATTCTCAATATAGCAAAAAAATGTAAACTACGTCAGGACTTTTTAAAAATATATATATGAACGGGGTTAGAAGTTATTGCAGAACTTCTCAAGTGTATATTCAATTTAAATATCAGCTTATCTCTTTTTTGGTAAAATTCCCCTGGGCTGAGAAATTGGGGAGCAGAATTGAAAAGTTTGGTAAGAATTTGCCATTACAAGTTGCGATTCACTTTAATGGAACGGTGTAATCAATGAAGTGGGGAAAAATCTCTATTTTACATAAAAGGGAGCAGTAAATAAAAAGTGGACAATTTCACTCAATTTAGACTCTGATTTTTCCATCACGCTTGATATAGATATAGCCACTTCAAAAAATAAAGCAGGCTCATTAAGTGAATTTCGACCAACAGAAACCACTTTTTGTTATTTTCCAATATATTTTCCCTTTTTAATTGTTTTTCAGCAAAAAAAGAAAAGGTATTACAGCTTCGGCGATTGAGGAATATATTTTGTTTGTTTTTGGTATTTACTAGTTGTAAATAATCAATTTACTGATTGCTCGAGGTAAACAAAAGGCAACTGTCTTTTTGACAAAAATTTGAGAGGCTTTTTGTTTGGCGTGTGAAAAGCTGCACGAATGAGTGAAGATAAACTTCAGCTCGCTTGGTAATCTGAATTTGTTGCCGGCACTATCAAAAAGTCGTTCAGCGCCTGGTTGTATAATACGGTCAAACGACCACTCTCCCTGCTTTATTTTCTGTCTTCTTTTCATCTTGGGTGTAAGATTCTTACCCCATCCCTAGCTCATTATTTTTCCACCAACTTTAAACCTCTTTGGGGCTCTAATTCGAACTAACAATCTCGCGCAAGGTGTAGCTCAAATTTAAATCGCATACACGCTAAATTTATTCACAACACACTAACTCTTTTCACCAACCGAATGGCATGAATTTACATACTAAATTGCGCGGCAGGTTTTCATGATTCTGAAAAAAAATAATTCCTGTCTGCAAAAAAGACAGAAAAAAAACGAAGAAAATGTCATGAATTGATTTCAATTTGCTTCAAACCAACCAAAAAGTTTAAGAGCCAAAAGTTTTCAAAAACCTACAAACAGAAAAACTTAAGTAAACAAGGAAAACAAAAACTTCTCCAACTAAATTGAGCAAAATACAAGAAATTAATTGTAGGCCTAATCTTAATTGTATTTTGGCATTTTAATTTCCTGTGTACATACTTTGAACAAGCATTCGACAGGTAGAGCGGGATTGAATTAAGTTATAATCCTTTTGTGGCGCTTGATTTATGGTTTCAATTAGAAATAGCCTCCAAAAGTGGCGGAAGGCGTTAGACATGTGTTGCTCAACAGAAATTACACAAGGCTAAAGCCTCTTTGTGAAAGAATTCAGGGTCCATAACAATGGGCGTGTCAGGGGCTTTTTGTAGGAAAATAATGTCATGGAGATTTTGTCATAAAATGAGGATCTGTCGAAAAGAATTTATTAAGAATTTCGAACATTTTCAACTATTCATTTTTCTTAAAGCATATGAATAACCGATACAAAAATCAACAGAGTAACAATGACAAAATAGACAAGAAATGAGTACATATGAATTGAGAGTAATTTTTTGATGGAATTTTTTAGCTTTTACAATTTTTCATTTTAGAGGATATCCCAGTGCAGTTCGAGCTGCAAATAGTTTTCCCGAAAATTTTTTCAGTGCGACAAAAAACAATCGAAATTTATCCTTATTAATAGTTTGTTGCTTCACGAGATCCGAACCAGCAAATTTAGAGCTGTTTGGTCTCCAGCGCTATGTTAAACAAGCATTGAAAAAAAATCAAATTCAGCTGAAAACTTTTTTGGCATTCCTTTCCTAGAATGAAACCTTTGCCATTCCCCGATGCACGGTCATTATTAAAAAGAAATTGGCAAATATTTAAGAGCTTTAGTCTTATTTTTTGAATTCATAAACAACCGGCGAGTGCCCTAATATTTGCACAAAGCTTACTAGTGGTTTTCGGAAACAAGCGGATATGTTGTGTGACAACGTGAAAAAATTTCCGAATTATGTTATTCGCAACTATCTATTTTACAGTGAACAAACTTGCTCTGAAGTTTTAAAAATTTGTCCAAAATAGACTTACAAATTAACCAAAAACGTTGAGCGCAGTCTGGTAATAAAACATATTAGCGATCATAGTTTTGGCATGAATATAATATGTCTAAATTTAGGATCAATACAACCAATTTTTATAAACAATATTTTAACCAAATTCAATCTCACTGTTGAAATCATTTCATACATTTTTATACATCTTGAAAAAAATTTAAATAGCTAGAGCGAAATTATATTTATCTTCTGTTCGCGTCAAAAAAGCTGCCAAATTGAACTTAGGAAACGAATGTACAAAACTGCACTTTCAAAAAAACTGCATTTTAACCACAACAGCTTTTAGATATCAAAAATTCGAAATGCTGCCTGGAACCTCTGGTTTGCAGTAAAAATATTACTATGTGATAGAGATTTTTCTTGAGCTCGAAATTTCACTCAAGTTTTGGATTAAACTTAAAAATCAAATTTTGAAAATCAAAGTAGTTTATTTAGTTACTTTGAGTTACTTGGGCAAACAGGTTGTCGCAACCAGTGGGTAACATGTATTTATGATAAAAGTATATAAAAATATATAAACACAGATATATAACATGTAATAATGATATAAATATATTAAAATGTTTAAACACAGATCTCCCGGCCATTTCTTAATCAATATAAACTCCCCGGCCACGCTCAATTTTTGCTGATTCCAAACAGTTTTAACTACGGAGTTTTTTATCCTCTTTTATTCACTACTTTCCCTCTTGGAAGATTTTTCTTTGGGTCGTCGTCTTTGTATTGATTTTTTTCGGGTCGTCGTCATTACCTTGTTTGTTTGCTTGTTCATTGGGCATTTTTTGTTTTGCTCTGAGCCCCGTGATTGGTTTCTGGCACCGGTAACTGCTGGCTTGCGTTGCTTTCACCCATTATAGGTCCTGTCAACTGTGTATTCTCTTGACTGTTTTCTGCTTCCTGTGTTTTCTCTTGTCTACTGGATTCCAGTTTAGCAAAAACACTAGGCAGGCCTTTACTTTCAATTGGTCTGCTCGCCCTTCTCATAATGCTTTTGCCCCATAGGAGTGGTGGTATTTTGTTGATATCTCGCTTTTTTTAGCTGTTTCCGGTATCACTTCGATTTCCGATGATAACGGTTAGACCTCGGAATCTTAATTTGACGACGCTGGTATCGTAAATAAATCACGCCTTTTAGTTTTGGGACGCCTTCTGTCCATTTTTCAGGTTTTTTGTCAGCTTGTTATGTTTGGACGGGGGGATTGTTTGACTTTTGCGGTCAATGTTTGCTGATGTGCAACTGAGAATATGTTCCCGCATTCGCGGCGTTGCTTGCTTTGCCGCTGGTTTTGATTGCCCGATGACCTTTGCTGACCTTGTTTTATTTTAATTTCTGCTTTGGAATTCTGAAATGACATCTCGTCCCCTGCTTCTTCAGAGTTTTGACGTGTTGTTCTGTTGGTCTATGAAACCAACTGGTTCTTGTTTGACATTGACTCGATTTCCGGATGAGCTGAAGTGTTGCTGACTGTTGTTTTTCACTGTTATACTATGCTTTGTTCATTTTTTTGTGTTTCGCGTAGTCGTTGTTGCCGTTTCTTCTAATAATTCTTAAGAGATTTTCTAATTTAACATTTGCGCCATGAAAATATCTCGCACCCATTCGTTCGTTTTGTCAACGCAGTGTGCTGTGGAGGCTTCTGTCTTGCATGGAATTGTTCGCACAATCCGTTGATTTCTGGACTCTAGATAAAAATTTATATTGCTCAAACAATATGATTTTTTCACTGACGAAATTATCTTCCATTTTCGACCATAGGTCAATGTTTGACAATGTCTGTATGTCGATGTTTGGCTTTCGCTGCGGAATTTGTCTTTGCGCCTTTTTTCTCAGACCTCAAACTTGGATAAAAATTGTTTTCAGCCTTACTGCACGTCAGCTTCAGTGTCAGCTTCATTACTTGGGACTTTTCTTTGTAGTACATCTCTAGTATTTATTCGCTGTCTTTCATTCTTGTGTCTGAATCGCATTTCATGATTTCGGTACTCGGTATCTCACTTTTGCGTTTTCGTCTCGTCAAATATTTTGATCATGACCTGACTGCGCTATAAATTACTTATTTCTAGTCAACATGTTGTCCCGTATAAAAATCTGAATAGCCAAAAACGGATAATAAAACTTTTGTGCTCGTTTTGATATTTGTGAGATGCAAAAAAAATGAAAAAAAAGTGTACACGTTAAACCTTCGTTTCAAACTCATCTTTCATTTAAAAACAAAAACATAAGTCATTTATGACAAAAATTACTCATATTTCTACCGCAGGCAGACTTAAGATTTTTTTTTGCCACTTCTTTCAAATTCAAAGCAGCTCAAACTAAGAAACAGTCTGAAACGAAAAAGTTTCGGCGTGGCATGTTCTAATACTTTGATATGATGACATATTTCAAATAAAGAAATAATTGCGTCATGCAACATTTCAGTTTGAGGCCAATTGGCTCTTTTTTGGGGAGATTGACATACAGATCTCGAAAACTATTAAAAAAGAACCTCGACTTGCTTGTTTTAAATTATGTAAGATGAACTTTCCGTTAAGCATTCTGCAACGATACCACTCCTCATTTTTCTTGAAAGTGAAATAAAAATATCGATCACCGTATGTATAGGACAGTTTTTCATTTTGTCTTTCCCAATGTTTCCGTCCAGTATGCTCATCTTTGTGCCAGGTTTTTCTGATGAGCCATCTGTCCTGCAACCATGTATTGTTTTCCGCGAGCCAGTGTCAAAAGGTTTCCTTGCAATTCTGTACATTTGAGTTGATCAGATCAATCACTATTAGAACGCAAATGATCGGCTTCTCCCTAAACCGATGTAACTAAAGTTTTAAAGATTTAATCGTTTAATTAGTTTTATTTGAATATGCCTTCAAGTTGTGCTTTCTGACTTAAGGTTTTTTTTGTGGATGTCTGCTTGGGATTGTATCCTCAGCAAAATTATCACCCAATTTATGTTCCCTCAAAAACCCTCTCTTTTGTCCCCGATTTTTTCAAAGTAATTTTTTATGAAGTTTTGCCATCATACCCCCAAAAATTGTAGTTTTCAGAAACTCAAAAAACTCTTGTATTTCATTGCATGAACGTTGAGAAATCAGTGCAATATCGCGTAATATATGGAAACAATTAAACAAATAACAGACGAGATATCTCAGTTTTTCAGTTTTTGTTTTTGAAAGTTCGGACTTTTAAGAATTTTTGTGGTCAAGAGTTCATGTTCAAGTAGTTTTAATTTTTATCAATACTCAAAACTCACACTTTCAGATTCATTTAATGTCGATACCGAGTACTCTTTAACGAACGAGTTCCCAAAATACGAAAATAAGCGGCAAAAAAATGATACTACGCAAATCTCATTTTACGAAA